ATAAATGAACTTCCTCTTTACAGGAAGCAGTGACACTAAACACTAACCTGACCATAACTGAACTTCCTCTTTACAGGAAGCAGTGACACTAAACACTAACCTGACCATAACTGAACTTCCTCTTTACAGGAAGCAGTGACACTAAACACTAGCCTGACCATAACTGAACTTCCTCTTTACAGGAAGCAGTGACACGTCACACTAACCTGACCATATCTGAACTTCCTCTTTACAGGAAGCAGTGACACTAAACACTAACCTGACCATATCTGAACTTCCTCTTTTAACCTTTAAACAATCATCTGTGTTCAAGGAGACCCTGCAGATCACTTCATTAGGACAAGACGTGAGTGGATCCGAGCAGGAGAAGCCCAGGTGTCTCACCCAGGTCTCCTTGCGTGTCTCCGGGTTGTTCTCCACAAAGATGGTGTGTGTGGCGGACAGGTAGAGGGTCCCAACGGTGGCTTTTCTCTGGCCTGAGGACCGGTCCAGGAGACGGACATTTTCCACCTTAAAGGAGGGAAACATCAGAATCTTAAATCAGCTGTGTCATCCTGTTCAGGCAGACATGCTTAATCAATGCTGACGTCATAACTGAGTTAAGCTAACAGAGGGTAGCCTTGAGGGCGCATGCGCCAGGTGTGTTTACAGTATCATCCGCGGGGTTCACCGGGTGAGTCCATTATCGGACACAGACTCCCCGATGTTCTGCGTCTTCCTGCGGGTTACCCAGGACATTCCTCTGAGAAAAGACGAACAGATGGAGAAAATAACAACTGTCTTCCTGTCCTGTCACCTTGGGAGTCCGGATGTTCTCCATCACCGAGGACTAAAATGGTGGCGGGAGAGACGGTGAGCCGAGCGCGGTCACATTCCCGGTTTGACGCCGAGAGGCGAGCTGTGTTCTCCGCGGCTCGTGTTCCAGCGCTGCTCGGGGAGTCTGCCCTGGATTCACGCGCCTCTCTTCCGGTAAACTCGGTGGAAAACAGACCCGGTATCATCGGTACAGTCGGTACCGCCGGTCCGTGCTGGTTCTTGCCTCCGGTAGACGTGGAGATAACCGACGGCTTTCACCCACCGCTATCACGTTAGCAATTGTTGMAAAGTTAACATCCGGTCAAGTATTTCAAAATAAAACTTTAGATAAAACCAAACAGTGTATCAGCAGTGCCTTCACATCTGAAACTGTCTAAAGGAAATGTAAAAATACATGGATACATAACGGATGTTATGAACAGAAATTTGTTTGCGGCACTGGTAATTTTGTGGGATATTGTATTTTATTTTGAAAATATTGACTCAGTGYGTTTGGTTGAACTTTGTTCCGGTTAACGGACCGTAATCCAAAACTGAGTTTTTATTCCCAATTTAAACATAAACCTGGTGTTTTAGTTTAGAAGTGATCATTTAGCAAACTGCCTGTTATAACATTTATGTTTATTTATTTTAATTTTCTGTCTAAAGGATTTGACATGAATCCGTTTTTCTTGACTGTATTCAGGGTTAAAAGATGYTTTCTGGGAGACGAACCTGTGACTGTGAGACGACTGTTCTAACCGCTTCACCACCGGTCTGTGATCCTCATCAGATTAAAACACAAAGCTCACTCCTGTCATACCTGCATGTCAGTGCTTTCAGCTCATCCAGTTGATTTCCACTTTACTGTTTCCAGATTAAAAGTGTCTAACTCAGCTTTAAGACCAGCTGAGAAGTGTTGTAAACTAAGAGGAAGTTTTGTTTCTGCAGACTGAGAAACTTTCAAGTGTTTGACACATGTGGAAACATCTGGATTACAGCYTAAAGCTGCTCTGTAATCTGACAGGATGTGAGATTAAATAAACCCCAAACCTAAATCCTGACTCTGTTCCTCACCAAACTGTTAAATACTGTTTGTATCTTTTAGTTACACTGAAACAGGATGATGAACAATGTTCTTTACGTTTGTTAGAAGAATTCATCTGAACCTAATTTGCATGAAAAACAAGAACGGAGAGAAATATTTTGGTTTTCATCTGTTATTCTTACTGTAGCCTACAGGTGGCGGTATAACACTTAATGTTTATAATAAATGAAATAAAAGTCTGGTTTCAGCTCAGGCAAGAAGTCACTTTAAAAC